CTATGAATTTTTTTATTTCAGAGATTGTATTTTTATTTCAAATTTTTATTAACAGATACTCCTTTTAAAAAATTTTATTGTGCTAAAATGTACCTAAAATTTATTTCAACCAATTTTGACTGTAAAAAAGTGGTGGTAAATATATTCACTATGCTATGTAACCATCAGTACTATTTCCTTATCTCTTATCATCTCAAATAGAAACTCTATAACCATTAAACAATAACCTCTCATTACTCCTTCCCCCTAATCCCTGGCAACCTCTAGTCTACTTGTCTCCATAAATTTGCCTATTCCAGAAACCTGGAACCATGCAGAATCATGTAGTATCTGTCCTTTTGTGTCTGAGGTATTTCACTTAGCATAATGTCTTCAGGGTTCATCCATGTTGTATCATGTATTACAATTTCTTTCCTTTTCATGACTGCTTAATATCATATTGTATGACTATACCACATTTTGTTTATTTGTTCATCTATTGATGGACACCTGTTTCTACCTTTTGGCTATTATGAATGATACTGCTATGAACACTGGTGTGCAGCAATTCTTTGGAATATATACCTAAGAGTGGCATTACTGGGCCTAAATTAATTCTATTTTTACTCTTTGAAGAACCACCTCTTTCCAACAGCACTGTATCTTTTACATTCCCACCAGAAAGCATGAGTGTTTCAGTTTCTCTACATCTGCACCAACAAATAATTTTCCATTTTTTTTTTTTTATGACAGACATACTGTTGTTATTGTTGTTGTTATGTGCCGTTGAGTCGGCCCCGACTCATAGCGACCCCTCCTTGGGTTTCTGAGGCGGTATCCCTACGGAAGTAGATTGCCCAACCTTCCTTCCGAGGAGTGGCTGGTGGGTTTTAACCACCAGCCCTCTGGTTAGCAGTCAAGTGCCTTAGGCACTATGCTACCAGAGCTCCTGACAGACATACTAGAGGGTGTAAAATAGTGTCTCATTATGGAATTCATTTGCATTTCCCAATGCCTAATGTTGTTAAGGATCTTTTCATATGCTTATTTGCCATTTGTCTATCTTATTTGGAGAAATATCTGAATTGAAGTTCTTTGCCTATTTTTAATTGAGTTCTAAGAGTTCTATTGTGGATAGTAGTCACAAGATTTGCAAATATTCTCTCCATTTTCTTTTTGCTCTTTTGATAATATCATGAACACACCTTTAATTTTTATAAAGTCCAATTTGTCTATTTTTTTCTATTATTGTCTGTGCTCTTGGTGTCACAATGAAGAGCTCACTGCCACATCCAAAGTTTCCCGTTTTCTGCTAAAAATTTAGATTTACATCTTTGATCCATTTTGAGTTGATTTTTGAGTATCATGTAGGGTAAGGTTTTAACCATTCTTTTGCATGTGGATATCCAGTTTTCCTATTGTCACTTGTTGAAAAGATGGCTTTTTCCATTGAAGTGTCTTGGCACCTTTGATGAAAATCAATTGACCATGCAGCATTTGAAGGCCATTTAGATTTTAGTTCTATTTCTCTGCTGAAAATCTCCATCTGTTCATTCATTGTCTCCTTTCCTGTAAATATACTTTTAAGGCTGTTTTAAAACCCTTTTCTGCTAATTGCAACATCTGGGTCATCTGTGCATCTACTTCCATATATTTTCTACTGATTAAGTATCATTTATTTCTTTTCAGGTTGTTATTTTTGTGTATTCAATTTTGTAGGTATGCTGTGAAGATTCTGGATTATTTTCTTTTAAAGAATGGTGTGTTTTGTTCTGGCTGTTCAATTACTAATGAGTAACCTTGATCCTGTGAATGTTTGATTTCATGCTTTGTTATTGAGTTTATTTACATTTTGCCTTAGTCGTCAAACACAGTCTTTAGTCTTAAGGATGTTGCTTTTACTTCTGAGGCCTTTTTTGAATTTCAATGTATAACCCAAAGTGTTTAATAAGTCCTTTGTATTAATTTTCTGAGTCTCTGGGTGATGCAAACAGCTAGATGCTTGGATACTAACCAAAATGTTGGTGGTTGAATCCACTAAGAGGTGCCTGCCTCAGAAGAAATGTCTGTCGTTCTCCATCTGAAAAGTCACAGCCATTGAAAACTATGCACAGTTCTCATCTCAAACACAGGGGGTTGTTATGAGTTGGAATAGACTCAATGTAAAATGGTTTAGTTTGATGTTGGCTAGTATTAGTTTCTTCAAACTCACTGCTGTTGAGTCAAATCCAATTCATAGTGACTCCCAGTGGGTTTCTGAAGTGGTAAATCTTTATGAAAGAAGGTTGCCCTGTCTTCCTTCCATAGAACAGCTGGTAGTTCTGAAACACCAACCGTCTGATTAGCAGTCAAATGCCTTAGGCACTACGCCATGAGAGCTACTTAGTTTCTTAGGGCTTCCATAACACAGGAACACAAACTGAGTGGCTTAGAATAACACAAATGTAGTCTAGAAGTCCAAATCAAAGTATTGACAGGACCTCACTCCCTCTAAAAGAAGTAAAGAATTCTTCCTTGCCTCACCTGATGTCTCCAGGCATTCCTTGGTTTGAGGCTGAACTATATAATCTCTACTTCCACCTTCACATGACATTCTTGTCTTTTCTCCTTCTAAGGACACTCATTGGACTATAGCCACCCTAATCCAGCATGTTCTCATTTTGACATCCTTAACTACACCTGCATATTAAAGCTTGACAAAATGCTTTTGAATTGTGGTATTGGTGAAGAACACTGAAAATACCATGGACTGCCAGAACAAGCAAACCTGTCCTGGAATAAGTGCAACCAGAATGCTCCCTGGAGAAGGATGTCATGCTTGGTAAAGTGGAAGGGTGAGTGAAAGAGGAGACCCTCAATGACATAGGCTGACACAGTGGCTGCAATGATGGGCTGAAGTATAGCAAGGATTGTGAGGATGATGCAGGACTGGACAGTGTTCTAGTCTGTTTTGCACAGGGTCGCTGCAAGTTGGAGCAACTCAATGGCACCTAACAAGTACATCTGCTAAAACCCTTTTCCAAAATAAGGGCACATTCACAGGTTCTAGGTGGACACATCTTTGAGAGTGAGGCACAATTCTACTAATTACACCCCTCTTAACTTAGTGAAAACTGAATTTCAAACTCTCTCCCTTCAGGACTTCTGCTTAATTCTTTAGACTTCAACAACTGAGTTCCTGTGAACATCAACACTGTAGTTGTGCAGTTTTGGAATCCACCAACAATCTGAATTTGTAGGCAGATGATGGGGGCTTACTGCTCTAATGCTCTCTCCTTTCCAAAATTTCCAGCTTTCCTGGCAACCCCAAATGTCTTCTTGCCCAGTTAGATTGCCATATTGTGCTTAAATTCTATTTTCAAGTATACTGCAGAAACTGTAAATTACTCTTACGGCAAAAATAAGTTACTGAGGATCTCTTAGAGTATCCTTGCCTTCTTTCAAGAATTAGGCTTCATCCAGTTTCAGTCTGCTTTTGGTTGCTCTCCAGTGCCTTCTAAAAATTCATTTTTATATTTTGTTCAGGGTTTAGAATTGTTATTGGCAAGAGAATTAATCTAATAAAAGCTAATCCTTCGTTACCAGTATGGTAACCCCTAAACTCTCAAAAGATTTAATAAAAATATTAAAGGCAAAATAAAATTTATCATTTATTTCCAAATCATTAGGGGGGAATAAAACCTTTTTATACAGCTGAACCCTTTAGTTCATTTCTTTCCAAGAAAAGTACAAAGACCAGAATAAAATTGAAACAAGCATTTAAAGGAAAATCCACTGACTCAGAGTCCAAAAACAAACTATAAATGTCCATTCTACCAAAAGAATTAGTTTTTGTAAAAAATATAAAGTATTTTACACTATAAACAAAGACTGGTATACATATTTACTTGAATTAGAATTCTAGTATCTGCTTTTCCTCCAATTCTTCCCAAGGACAAAGCATATCTGCAAGTCAGAAAGCTAATTACCTCAATGGGCAGACTATCTTAGAATAAGCATTTACTCATAAATATCTGGAAATTTTTTTCTTTCCCTTGGCTCAAATTTCAGTACACTAATAAGGTCACAATCTAAGTCTCATATTAAGTCAGGAAACTTCAGCAACTTCTATCTTTACTGAAAAAGACCAAACTAGTTCCATACCTCCTACTATATCATTGTTTTCATGGCCCTTCTATCAGAAACATACTACATAAAGTAAAACTTAGGTCAGAGAAGTCACTGAAAATAGTTCTCTAGCACTAAATTCAACTTCAGACTTGATCAAAAGAACAGTAACTTCTACACAGGGATGGCTATTAAAGCAGTAATATAATTTTCTGATTCAACGCTTACGATGATATTGACTTTTAACATCTGAAACCTTTCTCATCTAAAAACTTTCAAATAAAAATAGTGAATGACATTAAATTATCGCAGATACAACTATGATACTTTAAAGGATATGATATTTTAAAAGTTGATTTGAAAACATACAATCCTTTAATATAGTTGACAGTTCTTCAGATATCAATAATGTTAATCCTATTCTAAATGAAATCACAAAATGAAATTACACACTCTACTGAAATGCTTTAATTTGGGATTTTCCCAGTTCTTGTTACCATGTATACTAATTTCCACCTTTCATTATTAATATTTTAAACGATATTAATCAATATATGATAGTTCTGTCTTTAAATTTTGAAAAAATTTACCTCAACTCTCATTTTAATTAATGATTAATGATTAGAGAAGAGGCGTGATTTAAGTTATGGGTAAAAACAGTGCATTAGCCTAAGAAATCATGGATCTTCTCTACTTAGATAAATCTTTAACAAGAACGAGTAACATGAACAAAAGAATGCTTTTATAAGAGTCTTACCTAGTAAGGGCAAGTTCTTGATTTTAACATAGTATGGGAAAAGCAAAAGTGTTTTTCCTAGATGAAAATTCTTACTACTACAAAAAATTTTTTTCCACCCATGACATTTTATGTATCATTTAAGCACCAAAGAAAAATTGTATAAACAAACTTTTAACCAGTAAACTAAGGGCAAATATCCATTTGCCTTTTATAATATTTAAAAGGCCATGATATGAGTGTCTAATTCCTACAGTGACATTTTTATAATAAAAATCCAAGCATATGTATACAAACAAGAAACGGAATTACTGTACATTTTGGGGGAACAAAGAGCAGACTGATAAACTAGAACTTTTGAGTTAATAAAGTGAGGACAAGAAACCTATAAAATGTATGCAATGTATAAAAATTCAGTAACTTTTTAAAGTTTCATTGAAGAGATTAATAATTACCAAGAAAAAAAGATGGTAGTTCTATTGGCTTATAATTATTCCTGTAAACAGTAAGAAAGTTGTTAAGTAATAAATTAGAAACATCTTAGCTCTCCTTATTTCCTTCCTCTTGCACTAGAACCACTTTTAGAGTGGTTAAATTGGTTAAGTTTAAGAGTAATTCTAGCAGAAAATAAATTCCCTATCAGGAATAAGTTAACAGTCTACAATAGATTTTTGACAAGTAAAAGAAAAAAATACTGCAGGTCACATGAGGATTGGTCTACACAGGTATGGCAGAGCAACTCGTTTAAACCTTCAACTCTTCTGTTTTACCAGATTTGCTTTGTTGCTATCACAATGTTTTCTAAATTGTTTGGTAGCAAGGTGATAGAAAAACAAATTAAAATGAACACAACAATTTAACGTGTGGCTATTTATGAAGAAGAAAAAACCCTCAAAATACTTTTTCCTACATGACATAGGAAAACTTTTCATTTGGCACAATCAATTTGTAAAAAGAGAAGAAAAAACAACAGTGAAACTTCTTGTGTTTGGCATTCCAATAATCCATAGTTAAGACAACAGTAGGAAAGGCAAATAGGAAAAATGCGATTATATTGAGAAAAGACATCAGAAGACAAACAAAATGCTCTTGTGTCTTCTATTATTCACTCTCTCTGTAATACTTTCATCTGCAACACAATATACAAATGATTATTTACATTACAATTATATTGGTAGAGAAGACCATCATCAGTTCTTGTTGTGCTCTTAACAGTGCCCATTGTAGTAATCATGACCATAGAGGCAAGGAGGCCTTAAACAACAAAATATTCTATATGCATTGTATATTTTATTTAAATTTGTTTTATGGTTCATCTTCAAGTTTAGTGCACAAATAAACTGTAAGACTGAGAAGTCCTGTAAACTTAGGTTGATTTTCCATGGCTGGTAACTAATTGCTCATTGAAGATCGTGTTTTCTTGGTAACTAAAATGTTCTACTTCCTTAAACCGTGGTATCTCCAAAGTCCTTGTTCCAACGTATGTATGCTTCTAACGTTTGAGGGCTCACGCTGCGTTTTATCTTTTTCAAGGATTCAGTGAAATCAGATAATCGAATATTCCTCATCTAGATACAAAAAAATAAACATGATAATACAAATTATGAACACATATCCAGTAGTTAATCCAACAATTATGTTGCTGTTTATTAACGTAGTTACTATATATTGATGTGTTCCTAGAAAATTATGCTTTTAATATATTTTATATATTATCATAAATTAAGCAAGTTTGCTATATAAAGAAAATCTTACCAAAAAAGCTGTATAAAATATTTTTATTATTTGTACCTAAATTCTTTAGTATTACATTTTAAGGCATAGTTTTTCTCAGCATCAAAACAAAACATACTCATAAAATTTTTGAAAAAATACACACCGGTAGAAAAAAATAATCATTCACAATTCTATCAGTGAGATATATCACTCTTTGGCTTATTTCCTTCTAGTATTTTTTTCTATACATAGCTGCATGGAATTCTGCATTCTTAAGTCTCAGTTACTGCAAGCAGACTAGCTAAATCCATGTTAAAACTGTTAGAAAAGAAATGGCAGGTTTCACAACAAACATATGAGACTTTTTGGGAAATACTACTCTTTAGCCATATGCAGGATGCTTGTATATGAAACTCTTTAATATTAATATTGCATTTAATATTATTTGGTTTTATTTCCTGACATTTTAAATTGGCTTTTGAAAATGTAGACTGAAATAAGATTGATTTAACAAATATCTACATTTACCTAAGGATTTTTAAAAGACAAAACAGAGTTTGGCACAAACTGATCTGTATTAAAAATTATCACTAGTATATACACATGTACTTGACCTCTAAATAAGAAGTTAAAGGAGTTTAAGATGTTGTTGTTGTTGTTGTTTTGCTGTCGAGTCGGCCCCGACTCATAGCGACCCCTCCTTGGGTTTCCGAGGCAGTATCACTACAGAAGTAGGATTGCCCAACCTTCCTTCCGAGTTTAAGATACAACTTGAAAAACTAGCATTTATCTATATTATCAATTACTCTAAGAGCTAGCTCTGGGGTGTCATAGTGCCTAAGGCTTTGACTGCTAACCAGAAGGCTGGCGGTTCAAACCAACCTTATAAAACCCCATCTAACTACTTGATAACTCCATGAATAGAGATTAAAAAATCACCTACACTTATAATTTGCAACCTCATCTGAAAAATATTAGCTAAAAATTGAAAGGATATGTAGTTACCACATGGTTATCATATGAATGCTACCTGTTTCTTATTTCAATGTAAAACACACACTGGCTCTTCTGAAGTCCAAGGTGTAGAAGCATGAATGTAATGAGGGTATTTATTACCTATGATATTCCTGAATAAAATTTGTTTTACAAATTAAGGTTTAAGAGCTTTTGATGAAATTTTAATTTAAATGTATACTTTGGTATGTGTATAGATATATGAAATTTATATAGATATATTTTAAAGTCAGTAAGAGACTAATATATCCAACAGGTAAAAGCAAATGATGCTATTTCAGTAAAGCAGATAAAATGAATAGCACAGATTTCTTATCAAAATACTATTTATTAATAAACTTGGGAGTTCTGGTGGCATAGTGCCTAAGCCATCTGATTACTAAACAGAAGGTTGGCAGTTCAAACCCACCAGCCACTCCTTGGAAGGAAGATTGGGCAATCTATTTCCATAGTGATACCACCTCGGAAACCCAAGGAAGGGTCTCTGTGAGTCAGATATAATTCAATGGCAATGAGTTTGGGTTTTTTTTTTTTTTAATTAATAAACTTAAATTGAATGAAAATCGTGTTTTTAAAATAAAATGTTTATCCCAAATTTATAACCAACAATTTTTTAAAATTTATTATTTATTGTGATGTGGGTGAAGATTTACAGAGCAAATTTGCTTTTCATAAAGCAGTTCACATATACTTTGTCGCATGTCATTGACCACAGTTTACCACAATGCAACAGGTCCCCTCCCACTTCCTCCCCAAAGTTACTTCTTCCCAGTGTCCATCCCTCCATACTCTCCTGCCCCCTGAGCTGTCCTGTGCATAAGCAGCCCTTCCTTCTCCCATGCTTGTTCTCTCCAGGGCGTGTGTCTACTTGAGGTAAATGTTTAACTCACATGCCTGTACTTTTAACCAACAAGTTTTGGTACCACTCTTTAAAAACACAAAGATTCCAATATAAGGATTTGAGTTTCTATTCTTACAAACTATAAAAGACAAACCAAGTTCATCTAACCAAAATTTATGTTTGTCAGTATCAAACAATGTGAGTTGTTAAAGTTGTACCAAATACATGAGTAGCAACTGGGGTCTTAAAAGCTTTCAAGCAGCCGTCTAAGATGCAGCTAATGGTCTCCTATCACTGGAAGTGAAGAGTGCATTAAAAAAAAAAAAAAGGCATTTAGAAGCAATCAGCCCTAGGACATGATGGCCCTCGAGACCAGAAGAACTAGATGGTGCCTGGCTACCAATGCCAATCACTCAGGAAAGGAACAAATCAGGAGACCCTGGATAGAGTGGGAGGAAAAACATGGAACAAAATGCAAAAATTCAATAATGACCAGAATTACTGGTCGGATGGACTCTGGTGCGAACCTCCAATACTATGGCCCTGGGATATATAATGGGACTGGAATAAAACTCACTCCCAGGAGCTGGCTCTCGCCCAACAGTAAACAACATGTACACGCAGACCACTCAACCCAGGGTGACACATTCACACACTCTATGGAAATGCATCCCTGGAGCAATCAACCACAGGGCACCAGAGAGGCAACATTCCCACTGAGGAAATGCAGGACACACAGGAGTGCATAACGATTGGGGGGAGGGGGTTGTTATTACTGGGTAGGGAGGAGAGGAAAGTGGGTTAGGGTTGGAGATGGTAAATAGGGAGTGAAACTAAATGTACACGTAATGTTGAATGTAAAACAAACTCTGCTCTGTAAACCTGCACCTAAAGCACAATAAAAAAAATAATTATAAATACAATAAAGTTGTACCAAATACAGTTGAATAAAATTTCAGTATATAACTTTAGAGGGGAGCTCTGGTAGCATAGTGCCTAAGGCACTTGACTGCTAACCAGAAGACTGGTGGTTCAAATCCACCAGCCACTCCTCGAAAGAAAGGTTGGGCAATCTACTTCCATAGTGATACTGCCTCGGAAACCCAAGGAGGGGTTGCTATGAGTCGGGTCTGGCACATAACAACAACAACTTTAGAGACCAAACAACTTTTGTTTTTCTTTACCTGCGTAATAAAATGCCACTACCAAACACACTGTACTTATTAGGTATTTTAAAACTATTTTAATGGATACATGTAGGGCTTACTCTGTACCAGATTCTTTTTAGGTGCCTTATAAGTATTAACTCATAAGTAAGGACTAACAGCTCAGAGCTACTATACCAAATCAGTAATATCAAAACTACTATACTGAAAATAAACACTGGACAAAAGTATGGAGTTGAACCAAAAATTATAGCAATGTAACCTGACTATATATAGTTAGTGGGATGGTCAAAAAGGTACCAGTGTTTAGATTTCTTGTCATTCACTCAGTAGTTCTATAGTTTTAGTTCTTAGTTAAAATAATGTACTTTTTAAAATGGTGTATTTTTAGATGAGAAATTTAAAAATTCAAGCAAATCTGTTACATAGTAATACTGAAATAAATGCATTGTATTGGAATAAATTCATGATGTTTAAAATATATGTATATTTGCAGGCTCTTGAGATGGTAATGGGCTAACTAAACAGTGCTAATAAAAAACAAAGAAGCATGCATTGCTATATCTAGAGGATTAACATTATTCTCCATTAAAAAAAAAAAAAAAAGATTCCTAGAGTTACTGATTTCCTAGTTTCAAACAGGTAAATTCAAAATGGATTTTTTTTTAAGCCTGGATTAACTTGCTGCTCCCAGAAAGCAAGAGTGTTTTTTGAAGTTCTGAAGTAGTTCTTTCAACACTACTTCATTCATCCCAATTTAAAAGGAGATTTCACTAGCCAAATGTGACCCTTTAAGCATTATATATAGAGAGAGGTGGTAGGCAGTTTCTCACGCCTCCGAATGATCCTCACACCTCGGTAATTATCCTTTCCTAATCCCTTCCAGTTGAGTGTGGACTAGACCTGGACCTAGTGACTTGCTCCTAATAAAGAGAAAACAGCCAAAGTGATGGGATCTCACTCCCAGGCCTAAGTTATAAAGACTATGATATCCATCTAGCTGACATTCTCTCTCACCTTCTTGGCGCTCTTGCTTTGATGAAGCAAATTGCCATGCTGGACAGGTCCATGTGGCAAGGAACTGAGGAGAGTCTCCCACCAACTGTCAGTGAAAACTGAGGCATTCAGTTCAACAGTGCCCAAGGAAATGAATCCAGTCAACAAGCACATGAGTGAGCTTAGAAGCAAAACCTTCTCTAGTTGAACCTTAAAATCACTACAGCTCTAGCCAACACCTTGACTGTAGCCTCGTAAGACCATGAAGCAGAGGACCCAGCTAAGCTGTGCCAGGATTCCTGACTCACAGAAATCGTGAGATAATAAATGTGTGTGGGGATTGGATTTGTGGTAAATATATATATAACAAAACATTTGCCATTTGATGGAGGAACACACCATGCTCGTGGATAGGAAGATTGAACATTGTGAAAATGTCAATTCTACCCAAAGCAATCTATACATTCAATGCAATCTCTACCCAGATCCCATCAATTCTTTAAGGATATGGAAAAACCAATCACTATCTTTATATGCAAAGGAACGAGACTTGGATAAGCAAAGCACTAGTGAAGAACAAAGTAGGAGGTCTCACATTGCTGGATCTCAAAACCTACTATGTAGCCACAGTAGTCAAAACTGCCTGGTATTGGTATAATGACAGACACATAGACCAATGGAATAGAATTGAGAACCCAGAAATAGACTCATCGACCTATGGTCAGCTAATTTTTGACAAATGGCCAAAATCCATTAAATGGGGAAGAGAACGTTTGTTTAATAAATGGTGTTGGCAAAACTGGAGATCCATTTGCAGAAATATGAAACAAGATCT